CGCTCATGTAAATGCAGGTAAGAATATAACATAAAGGGTTAATGTCAAGACCACTACAAGAAAGGGCCGAAACACGCCCACGCAGGATATGTGGGTTATGGAAACACCACACCCATTAGCACGACATCTCTTGGGGTGTTGAAGTATTTCAAATAAGTCAGCTCGTCCACTAGGGTGGCAATTTTGCACAGCCAAGTTGGACGCCCCTTTGAAGTCATACAGGCTTTCCATGTCGCAACTAAACGATGACGTATTGAAGATCATATCAACTATATAGTTGGATTTTGTTCCCTAGAGAAGTTTCTGCACTCAAGAACATGCCAATAGCTACAAGTGAGCTTATTTGCTCATATCTGATGCTTGTCTCAATGTCTTCAAATGTGGAACATTCCCTTTAAAGGGAATATTCATAATATAATAACCTCACTTGTAGCATTTGGTTCGCTCTGAAGTGTGAAAGACTGTCCTGGACAGAAGATTCCACTACTCACTAAATAATTTCCTTAATGTGTCATCGTTTCATTACGTCATGAAACGTCTGCATGACACCCGAGTCACAGCGGGACTGGTCGTATCGGAATTGCAAATGCAGCGTTGCCCGCATGAGGGAAATATTCACACATCTGCACAAGCATGTGTATCAATGGTTGTTACGGAAAAGACCTTCGATCTTATCAACACTGTCCATCAGGACTTTCTGAGCCCCCGCACTTGTTTTGCAGTACCCGAACCCGTTGCGGCTAAACTCACAATGTAGCCGACCTTCCTTCTTGTACACCAAGAGTTTGATGAAAATGTCCCGTTTACTCGGCGTCAGACTCTCACTTATACACAGCTCACTGTCGTCCCACTTACCTTTTAGAATAACCTCCGAGCAGACTCTCACTACATGACCCGTGCGGGTCTTTCGACATCTTCTGGCGCTGTCTCAACTCGCTGGTCTCTATCTTTTTTTCAGAATATCTTGTTCTGTCTTGTGAGATTGGCTTGTCTTACTAGTCGTTTCATCAGGGTCGACAACTACGTCACTGTCTCTATCCTCCGCCATGGTTTGACCCAGCTGGGGCCGGTGTTGTTTTCTCCACTCGCAGGATGCAGCGTTCGAAGTATTCACTGACTTCTGACGTCTTGGGCCACAGCCTCCTGATGAGAACGTGCTGAAATCACTTCCAATCACCACATTCTGCCGTTGCAGCCTCTAGCTGGCGTGGGCCCTGGCTTAGGCTCGCATTGACATCGCGCTCGCGCCACACGCAGAGCCGCCGATCGCAGGCGCGCGGCGGAGCGCGCGAGGGGAGCAACCGCCCCAGGCCAAGTCACGGCCCGACCGGACTTGTGCACTTGAAAACGCACTGACAATTACACGCGGGCTTTTCCATTATATCTGATGCTTGTTTCAATATCTTCAAATGTGCATCAGCCCCTTGTTACGTAAGCTCACCAGAAACGCTGGAGTCGCAGCGGTCGGTCCGACTCGTCCCAGACTGATTTGCAACGCTATTGACGAGATTCTATCTTGGCAATCACCGTCTGCTAAGATAGTTTGCCGCCTTTGTAACCACCGGCTGTCATGAAGTTTTAAACAGCACGTTGCATCCGTATTTCAAGCTGCGTTTTCACGCGGACAGAGCACTTCAATGCTGGCCGTTTGATCAGGACTCGTAGTTCTGTTACGTTGCAACATCACCAATACATGACTGCTCTTTCCGATCGTCGCGGATGTCAAACCATTTTTGGCATCTAAAAGGCTTAACACGCGCCCGAGTGGTTGGTTATGCGTTTTGCGCTCGTGTGGGAGTGGGGGCCAATGTGACCCCATAAGATTTAAAAGACTAAGAAAGCTAGAGATTCGTTGCTTAGTCTTACGGGTACGGGCGCCGTCTCAGCGTTTTATGAAGGCCACATGTGATCTCACCGGGGTTAATTTCTTTTAGGTCCAGATCGGTGTCAGAAGCGACATCAGATTTATTTACGCAACCAACCGTAAAGGGAGTGTTCCACACTTGTGGGGGATTTTAAACTGAAATAGCCATCTTGAAAATCATTCGTTGCACTTCGCAGTCCTGCCCTTCTTAATTTCCAAACCCCTGGAGTTTCCAAGCTACGCACCCGCGAAGACGTTCACATTATTTCAAAGTTACGCAGGCATCCTGACGCCACAAGAAAGCCATTCAAATCTTACCATCCCATTGGCCGTGCGGCCATCAAGGCCAAGACAAATATGATTGTCGAGTCTTTCATATTTAGCGTTCGTGAGCACGATTTCCCGGTACAACGGCCATCAATTAGCTCTCAACTAATGTTGTGCAAGGTACAAGGACGCAATTAAATAATAACGTGTCGAGGGGCATATTTGGTGTACAGAGAAATTGTGTTGTCTAGAGCAGTCTTTTCCACATACAAGTATGCCGAAAGTTACAATTGCGCTTATAGCGTCATAGCCGATTTTGTTTCCTTTCATATCTTCCAATGGGGAACATCTCCTTTGATATCGATATCACTTATGAGCGAAATGCCAGTGTTGTTCATACCATGTCGGTTACTTTCTTTGGCTTGTAGAAGGTAAACGTGACCCAAACCTCCGGGATTATTTGATGTTTGAATTTAGAATAACATATATACTACTCTAGGCGGCATGCTGCCGAGAGCAAAAAGGATTTATTTGTCTAAACCATTCAGGTCAGCGACCTAGTCTAACTTTCATGACGTTAAAGTCCAATCAGATATGTTGGTATTGGTGTGACCTCTAAACCTGACCCAAGATCAATGGAACAGGTCGTAACAATAATTTGCAGTCCATCTCGAAACTGCATGATTTCGTCTAATACTGCGTTGTGACATACTGAACGGTTTTCTAGGAGTTGCCCTCGCTGACAGCCAATGTCTTTAGGTCAACGACCTAAGATACATATCTGAATTGCTTGATACCAAAAGACAACTTATGAATTGCCTAGAACTGTGCAAAAATTTGGCGTACGTGTGCCGCGCGTTACCGAAGTTGTTTTAGAACTAAAGATATTAATGGTCAAAATGCGCGCAGACATCGCCGTTAGCGCTGGTAGCATCACCGCCAATAATGCAACCATAACCACTCGTGTCTCAACAAGATAAAGTAAACCTCAGCTACATCTGTATGCTGTCAACACCATCATGTCGTCCGGACACATTGCATGATAACGATGTTCCACACCCCCAGGACATCAAATAGGCATTTAATTTTGGTTTCCGCTTATTTCGCTGCGCGAAGAGCCAGCGCTATCGATATCGGTGCAGCACCACAGAGTCAGCGCCATCGATGTTGGTGCAGCACCGCAGAGCCAGCGCCATGGATGTCGATGCAGCACCGCAGAGCCAGCGCCATTGGTGTCGGTGCAGCACCGCAGAGCCGGCGCCATCGATGATGGTGCAGCACCGCAGAGCCAGCGCCATTGGTGTCGGTGCAGCACCGCAGATCCAGCGCCATCGGTGTCGGTACAGCGCCGCTTGCATCTACATACCATTGACTCGCCCCTCATCGTTGCGCGGTGTGTGCTTATTAGTTGATGCCGTTCGCCCAGCAAGGATTAACGTATGATGGCGCCCCATAACATGACCGGCCGGTGGGACGGGCATCCTTTTTTGTCTGGGAAACGCAGTGTCTTATGTGGGGCTCGGCCTCCGTAGCTGTCGTGCCTCAAACACAACGCATCAGTCATTCGCTATCAATGAAGACTGGCGCTATGCTAATCATACTTCCGAGATGATCTTGTATATGCATGCTTGGAATGCCTACTTAGTCTTCTTGGTGCTGACCTCCGTGCCTTTTCACATCGTTTAAATATATCGCACTGCCGTTAACATATCACATGACATTTTCAGTGCCTTTTGAAATTGATTCCAGTCTCCTTCGTTATGGACATCCCACATTCTGTCCGCTTTCCGCTGAGAAGGCCGCTGGTGGGCGCGGCAAACGCACCTGAGCGGGGCTAAAGGTATCGCCGGCGCCCCCCCCCCCTCCCCCCCCTCCCCCGCCGAGCGGGTCGCTGATGGGCGCGCCAGATGAACCTGAGCGGGGCTGGAGGTGACGCCGGTGCCCCCCCCCCCCTCCGCCGAGCAGGTCGCTGGTGGGCGCGGCGGACATACCTGAGCGGGGCTGAAGGTGACGCTGGCGCCCCCCGCCCCCCTCCCCCCGCCGAGCAGGTCGCTGGTGGGCGCGGCGGACATATCTGAGCGGGGCTGAAGGTGACGCTGGCGCCCCCCGCCCCCCTCCCCCCCGCCGAGCAGGTCGCTGGTGGGCGAGGCGGACATACCTGAGCGGGGCTGAAGGTGACGCCGGCGCCCCCCCCCCCCCCCGCCGAACGGGCTGTTGGTGGGCGCGGCGGACATACCTGAGCGGGGCTGAAGGTGACGCCGGCGCCCCCCCCCCCCCCCACCGAGCAGGTCGCTGGTGGGCGCGGCGGACATACCTGAGCGGGGCTGAAGGTGACGCTGCCCCCCCCCCCCCCGCCGAGCGGGCTGCTGGTGGGCGAGGCGGACATACCTGAGCGGGGCTGAAGGTGACGCTGGCGCCGCACCGCTCACAGCTGACCGAGTAGATGGTGTCGGCCCGGCCGCCGCCCCACAATGGAGCGCCCCACGCCAGCACGACCGTGCTCTGATCCACAGCCTCGGCCTCCAGATGCCGCGGCGCCGACGGCGGCTCTGTGGCAGGGAACATCCTCAGGCCACCGCTGCACGTCACAGCGAGACGGAGGGCGCTCTTCAGTACAATGACGTTAGTCGCACAGTTCATGACTGCGCCCTCTCTGTGGTAACAACGCCGGCAGGTGCACCAGGGAGATAGAGTTCATGAGTGTGCAGATTTCGAATCCAATGGAGAGATTGTTCAGGCGTTAACCGAAATGCGTAGAAAACAGTAACTGAGGGGTTCACGCTTTTGAGCGCTCACCTCCTTCACTAAGCAGGCAGACGTGTATGTGTGCGTGCGTGAAGTGTCGGTCGACTCACGGGTGCAGGCACAGCCGTAGCGGTCAGCTGGTGCCCGGTAGAAGCCGGCGTCACACGGGCAGGCGGCCGAGTCGACTGACGCTGGGCTACTGTGGTCTGGACACAGATGTGTCCGCTGCGCAACCGCTGCTGATCGACAGCGCTAGACGTTAATTCGTGCCGCTCACGACGCCTGACTGTGAAGCACCTGCTGCCAAATTGTCACGTGTACCACAAGCTCTTCTCGGCAACAGGCTACACGGGAGACCATCAACGAGCCAGAGAGACATGTCACGTTACCTCACTGTGATAGCACAAACGTGCCTGCTCCCTGGATTTTACCAAGATGTCTTTCTGAGCAATGTGCTCCGTTTGACGAGATGGGGTTTGTTCGTCTATTCAGTGCATCGGACGGGGAGGTAATGATAGCATACGTGTGGAATGGTTATTTAAAAATAAAGTCCAATGGTTATCCCAAATCAAGTACGTGCGTGACTTATCCCGATGTATTTAAGGGCGCGTTCCACATTTGTGTAGAGTTTTGAGCTGACACGGCCATTTTGTAGAACATTCGGTACAGTTCACAGCCCTGCTCCCCTCAAGACATAAAACACCAATTTCTGACCTACACACCCACGAAGATCTGCAGGGCATTTCATGTATACAATATCAAGGTTATCCAGGCAACCATTACGCCGCAATAACGCCATCCAAATCCTGTCATTCCACTAGCCAAACAGTGGTCAATGTCAAGAAAAATATGACTGCCAAGTCGTTCGTATCTGACGTTCGTGAGCACAATTTCCGGAGATAACGGCGGACACTTTGCTCTCAACCAATGTTGTGCTAGGCTACGCGAGATTCTAAAACAAACCACGTTTTGTACTGCAAAATGCACAAAACGGGACATTCTTTTGGATACTGCGGAAATAAGAGGATATGAATACAAGTAAGCACCTTCAATTCACTGACAAATAGGAAAGCACACTACAAGAAAGGGCCAAAACACGAGCACGTGTCGATATTTGGTCCAGCACACATCCAGCACCGCCACTGCCATCTCTGGGGAAGTGTAACAGCCACTGCCATCTCCCCAGAGTTGGTAGTGGCAGTTACAATTGGGCCCCTCGCCTTTGTTTGATAGCAAAAATACTCCACAGAAAACAAACCCTATATCTCATGGATATAAAAGCATGCAATTCTATAAAGGATGACACACATGTGATGCGCCCTACAATGCGCCCATGCGCCCTACAATGCATTTTACGCGCGAGACGGGAAGGAGGGCCCTTTTGTCAGATGTAACCCTAATTACAGGAAACTATTTCCGCTGCTGACAGGGAATTATTGTGAAGTTAAATATTGTCTGTCATCTAGACTTGATGGCGTTTGTTGAATGAGGTTTATATTATTTCACAGTGTACGTGCTTCCGGCTGCTATGCTACTGTTCTGCTCCGTTCTGCTCCGCATCGCGTCACATCGCATCGCGTCACATCGCATCGCATCGCATCGCATCACATCACATCACATCGCATCACATCACATTGCATCACATCGCATTACAGCAAAAATTCAGCGTTCTAGGACCTTGAATCGCCAGTGTAGGGTGCTTTTCAGTATACGAGTTTGCACAAAGCGATTTTCTAACGGTGAATAATCAGTGAATGGTGACTTAATCCATACATTATGCAGCTATGTTTTTCCTTTCGATCGCTGGCTATCTCAAGTTTGGATTGTCATGGCTTTAGACTGCAGCAAACCAATAAAAAACGTGTGAACACGCATTTTGCGAGAAGCAAACGCTATAGGAATGACAGGCGTCACCCGACTAGCATGATCGCGTTACAGTTAAAATAAGCCAATGCCCACGGAGGTCGGGGCTTTAAGCATCCGACTTCTTCTAGTTTGAGTTTCTTCTTCGAAAAGGGAACTGCGTTGTAAAAGCCCTGACTAAACATTTGCCCCCACGCTCATAGCCCTAACACGTTTAAGGAAAGGGCTGGGATAAATTTTGCCCTTTCGTGGCTTAACACCCGCCCGCGTGACCGGTTGAATGCCACACTCTTCGGTGTGTGTGTGGGGGGGGGGGGGGCAGACTGACACCTACGGGCTCCAAAACTAAGAGAGATAAATACACCAAATTCACGGGGAGGGTTGGCCTGTATTGCGCATAGTTGTGTCAAAAGCTGACGCACCTTCGCCACGTCCTTCGAGTCAAATAATGTCAAACCAGACAAACTCCAGCCCTGTATTTAAAGTGCCCCCCATACTTTCTTATGTGCCCATGCAGCCGCATTGAACCTAGATACCTCTTCTAAGCAAAAAGTCACTGTTCAATTTAGGTGAGTGACATCGTTTGACTTTTATAAGGTCATGGTTTCCAAAGCATGCGAGATTGTTTTCATTTTGCAATTGCAATAAGCGTCAAGCATTCAAGTAAACTCAGACGGTTTTTGTCTTCTGTGCTCCAGCGAGGGAACTGCTCATACTCAGACTTTTGACGTGGGAACGTGATGCTGACATAGAATAAGCTTTCACTGTTCACATATGATGCCGTTTGGGGTGCACCATCGCTACACCAGGCTATTCCCGAACGGTAATTCCTACTGATAAAGGTATATGTACTTAAGCATCAGCCTGGTTGAAATTATGTGCGGATTAGGGTAAATGGCTGGAGGCTTTTGAACTAGAAGGTGATTCTTACCCTCTATGTAAAATTGTGCCTTTATTACCAGATCGGTACCAACCTTTGCAAGTCCAGTCGGTCGGATTGGCCGCGTAGCCTTTCTTGCATCTGCAGAGTCCACTCAGCGAGCGCCATGTGCCGTCCCTCTTGCAGGTGAGCTGGGGAATCTGGCCATTTTCTCCGATTTCCGCGTTTTTGACACACTTGCCTCTCACCCGGATCGTGCTGTTCCCATTACCGGTGGGCGTGGTCGGAAACAGGGCCAGCCCGACCACGATTTCACGGCATTCCTGATAAAAGACGCACACAGGCGCCGTCTGAGACAGGCGCATTGGCTGTGGACAGCGAAGTAGGCGCCTCTCTTGGTGACGCCGGCGGGGTGCGTCGCCGCGACGGTCTGCAGAGTAGGCCGACAGTTCCAATACAGCTGACTGCCGCCCGAGTGGCGACACGCGAGCAGCCTTGCTTCAAGATCACCTCCAGCGAGCACCCCGGTCGCGCAACAGTCACGCACTCAGGACCAAAGGACAGTCAGGCACGATTCCAGTCCTCAGCTTTAGTCCTGACTTACCCTCCTCAAGCACACCAGACAGACACCAGTAGATGACTGAAGTACACACATACTCCTGAAATTACAGCAGACGTGGATCATGCTCTCAAACCTCGTACACCAATGACGATGCCTTATAGTCTCAGCAGTGGAGAGCGTCGTCAAGACGCAATGACGGACACAGGCACACTGGACACCAATCTCGGGGACAATTAACGTCCATTATGTGTGCAAACCCAGACACGCCGCCGTTCAATGCATAAGTTTGCACATCACTTTCATGCTTTGGGTCCAAAGCCAACCACCGTATTTAGTGAGTTGTTAGGACGCGCGGTTATAATGGACAGAATACTACAGACCATTGAGTGGCGTTCTTTAAAAACGTATTGTGAAGTCAGCATACGGTATTTTATGAAATCGTTTTGTCACGCACCTGACATGTTTGAACAGGTTGCGGTTTAAAAAACACTTCAATTACAACGAGGCGAACGTTACAAAAAATATGTTGGGTGTGGCGTGAAAGCAGCCATACCAAATTCATGTGACACTAGGCTGACATCAAAGGTCCGTCCCCAGGTTTGACCGCCCCTGATCAGTGTTTTCCTGGTCTGAATGAATTGGACAGTTGTGTCGCCTCAGCGGAACGAACCAGTGTCGCAGATCCCAGCGGAGCAGACCAGCGTATCCTGTGGTCTAGGCTGGGCTGGCCAGCACACACTCTGGTCTGTTTGGGACTGACCAGCACCCTCTCTGGTCTGGGAATTTCGGCACAGAAATATCAGCATCTACCAGCGTACCCTCTGACCCCAGAAATTCATCCATTCAAAAAACGCTTGACTTAAATCTTTAAGAATAACTTTAGTTTCCATTTTATTTTGGACATACTGTAACAGAAGGTGGCATGGTAACACGCTACCGTGGTGCATTTATGTAAAGTTTTAATCCATGCTATATCCAGAATTTTGCAAGAAACTCAATGAATTGAGAGCCACGTTACACTAATAGCGTATGTTGGCCGCGAACAAACTATCTAACCTTCATAAGCAGCAGCAGGCCCTGAAACGCCGCGGCCTCGCGCGTACGACGCATTGATCATAGACCCGGCGCGCATCAACTGCGCCACTGAGACCGTTAATTGCGCGTTGAAAATGGGGAAATTCACAGGGCACCATGCAGGAGCATTTTTACTCGACCCACTAAGAAAGTTAAGCTTCTCTAGACAGCAAAGGGCTTATGGATCGACGCTAGATAACGAAACAGTGGCTTTTGTGTCGCGAATTCATCGAAATTGGCAGCACAGAATTTCATCTACAGCTCTGCAAAAAGCAGGCCTTCATGCGTGAACTCCATGTAAAGGTGAGATAAGCACGCCGTTGGGCGGTTGTTTTGCCAAGGTACTTCGGAGAGACGAGGCTGAAAGTGCATGGCCCTTCCCGCCAGCCTCCAGCAACGTGGATACGAGAAAAGACAGTTTTAGCACTCCACTTACCGCTTTATCTGCCGGGTGACGCGCAACAACCGCATAATGCTTCTGGGACAGTGTTACTGAAAAAAACAACAGACAAGAAACAGGTCAGTATCGAGTGCAACCTACGCTTTTCACTGTGAGGAGCCTGCGAATAAAATTATCGGGATCAGCTCGCCAACGTCGCCAATTTAACACACAGATAAGGACGAGTTAACGCACAGATGTTCGCCCTTGTGTCGAAGAAACAAGGGTAACTTGGCAACTGGAACGTTGGTGCAAACAGCATCTAACATAGCGAGCAAAATGTCTCAACCGCTGACAAACCGACGCGCGCGATACCTAGCTGTCCTCGTGCAAGTCGCAGGCGATATCGCCCATGATCGGTGCCGACCGTAAACACTGCACACCACATAAGACAAACATGCTCTCCATTTAGCCTCATCAGCTGAGCGCGTCCAAAAGTCCCAATGACGACGCAGAGACTCCATGTGCCACACCCTTGCGAGAGACAGACTTGGCCACGCGCTTGCTGTCAGGGTGCCTGCCGTACGGAGGCCTTTACCGATTTATCAGACCTGGAGGTCACACGACTGCTCGGACAATCCAGAGCGAGGCCGTGCCCTCGGGGTGGGCCACCGCACCGAAAGATATATTCAGGGACAGCCCATACCCGCGACAAAACCGCTGCCGACGCTATTTGGCACAGCGTTTATCCTGGGACAAGGAGACCTTTCACCCATTCCTCACATCGCACGGGCGGAAACCAGTCAAGAAAAGGCCTGCCGAAGCCAGGCTTGAACCAAGAACCTCTCGCGAAGGTCGAACTGCGCCACCGCAATGGTCAGAACAAATCAAGTTTTGCACTTGAAACTTGCTATCGTTTGCATTTCTATGGAATGATACCAGTTTTAGTGTTTTTAAATTTTGAACATTACGTGTATATTTTATGTTTTTTTACAATTTACAGTTTCATATTTCTAGGCTAGAAACATAGCAGTTCTGAGCCCGGCCCTGCAGATTTGTAGGTCTTGTCTTTAATTCCGCACAGTCTTTTCTCCAATGTGCTGCGAGAAATTCCCGTTTCAGCTTGCAATTTGTTTTTAATCTCGCCGGAAACCTCGACAGGTGTGGTGCCGCTCATTGGTTGGTGCAAGCTACTGATCCTGTTATAGCGATTTTGATCCATATGCCTCTCGGCACAGATGCTGTCCACGTTGAAGCTGTGTTGTGGGCTAAACTCTTTAGTAATGTGGTGTCTGGTGGTAAGGCATTCGTGCGTCATGTCCGTTAAGTAAGCGATTTATTCAGCGATTTATTCAGCGACGAGTTCCGATTTCTCTGAAAAAGTGTCAAGGTCAATTATAGCAGGAGAAAATCGAAAATCACCTTGAGTTTGCAACATCATGTGACATTCCAGGTCAAAAGCTGGGTCGAAGGAAGGGAAACTCGAAATCACCAAAAAATTACCAGCCGACTTGAAAACTGTAAGCATCAAAATATTCATGAGCGCAAGAGCTATCGTCCGTTGAAAAGTCCTCACCTCTCAAGGTCACCTTCAATATTAAACGCAGTCTCCAAGGGCGGCGAACTCAATATCACCTAAAAATTACCGGCCGATTTTAAACTTGCAAGCATTTTAATATTCACTATACAAAAAACTGGCGTTCGTCAAAAAGTCCTGATCACTCAAGGTCACCCTTCAAAGTCAAACGCAGGCTCCAAGGGCAAGGAACTCGACGCCACCCAAAAATTACCGGCTGACTTTAAACCTTGAAAGCAGCAAAATATTTACAGGTTCAAGAGCTAGCGTCTGTCAAAACGTTTCGACCTGTCAAATTAAACCTTCAAGGTCAAACGCAGGCTCACACGACGGGAACTCATTATCACCCAAAAATTACCGGCCGGTCTTTAAGTTGCAAACATCAGAATATTTCAAACAGAAAAAACGGCGTCCCTGAAAAAGTCATGGATTCTCAAGGTCACCCTTCAGGGTCCAACGCAGGCTCAAGCGACGGAGAAGTTCATATGGCCCAAAAATTTACCGGCCGATTTTGAGCTTCTTAACATCAAAATGTATGTCATATAAAAACTAGTGTCCGTCAAACCAGTTCCCGTTTGTGGAACCTGCGTTTGACCTTAAAGGGTAATCTTGAGAGGTCAGAACTTCTTGATAGACGCTTTTTTGTGTTAAATATATTTATGTTTGGAAGCTTTAAATCGCTCGGCAATTTTCAGTGGTATGGAGCTTTTCGTACTTTGAGCCTGAATGTGACCCTGAACGATGACCTTGAGAAGTCAGGACTTTTGACGGGCGCTATTTTTTGTTGTGGTAAACATACCGATGTTTGCAAATCTAAAATCGGCGGGTAATTTTGGGTGATATTGAGTTCCATGTCCTTTGAGTCCACGTTTGACCTTGAAGGTTCACGTTGAAAGCCCAAGACATTTTGACGGACAATGTCCTGGTTTCCACTAGCTTGTGATTCGCCGTCTTAGTTTCCATTCACCAGCGCTTGCGCTGATGAATATTTTGATGTTTGCAGTTTTCAAATCCGCCGGTAATTTTTGGGTGGCATGGAGTTCCCCGTCATTTGGGCCCACGTTTGACTTTGAAGGGTCATCTTGAGAGGTCAGGACTTTTTAACGGACGCTAGTCCTTTTTGTGGTGAATATTCTGACATCTGTTAACGTAAAATTGGCCGGTAACTTTTGGGTGACATCGAGATCTCCGTCCTTCAGATCACGTCTGACCATGAAGGATGAACTTGAAAAGTCGGAACTTTTTGAAGGATGCAGTTTTTTCTGTGGTGAATATTCTGATATTGACAAGCTCAAAATCGGCCAATAATTTTTTGGTGACATGGAATTTCTCGTCTTTTTAGCCCGCGTTTGATCTTGAAAGGTGACCTTGAGAAGTCGGGAGTTTTCGACGGACGCTAGTTTTTTCCATGGTAAATATTCTAAGCTTTGCAAGTTTAAAATCGGGTGGTAATTTTTGAGTGGTATTGAGTCCCCGTCCTTTGATCCCGCGTTTGATCTTAAAGCATGAACATGAGAGGTCATGATTTTTTGACTGATGCTAGTTCTTTCTGTGGTGAATATTCTGACCTTCGCAAATTTAAAATCGGCCGGTAGTTCATTGGTGGTATTGAGTTCTCCGCCCTTTTTTGCCCGCGTTTCACCTTAAAGGGCAACCTTGAAAGGCCAGGACATTTTGACGGGACGTTTTGACGCTTGCGCTTGTGAATGTTTTGATGCTTGCAATTTTCGAGTCGGCTGGTAATTTTTGGTCGATATCGAGTTCCCTGTCTGTTGAGCCCGCGTTTGACATTAAGGCCCACATTGCATATCTAAACTGACGCTAGGCTCGGTGTTTTCTTGCTTAACGGACAATCTGGTGCTCTTTCTTCGAAATCGGAACCCGTCAATAAATGACTCGCCAACTAAATTCCTATCTTATAACCTTGTTGGTCCAGCACAGGCATTTGAAGTGTGATATCTATATTGCCTCAGCCCGTAATATCTGCTCCGACCCCTCCCCTGCCTCCTGCCTGAAAGGGGGCGGGGAGGAAATCTGATTGCATCGCGGTGTACACGGTGCGCTGCGGTGTAATCAGGTTATGTACATACGGACCACCCGGTGGCTGCCAATCCCGGCTGTTGACAGGACGCCGGCGGGCTATGTGGAGCAACCGCCGCCAGACCGTGAATACAAACCTACGTTCAAACTGGAGGGTATGGTCGTTTAGGACGGCTGTACACTGTCTGACAGCCAGCGTGCGGTATTCGTTGCTGTGCTTCGCAAAAATGAGTCGGTGCCCGATGGTCACATATAGTGTACCGATTTAGTGAGTCACAAGATCGAGACCAAGGGCCATTCCCGGTAGGGTAGAGACCACGTCGCCTGCCTTTTCACATGAAAAACTACGTACGCGTGCAGCTGGACGAACCCGTCCGTCAAGGCATTTTGGAGGAATCTGACAGCTGGACGTCGCCCATCCGCTTGGTTAAAAAGAACAGTGAACATAGAGTCTGAGCGGGCTTGCGTAAGTTGAAGTCGACCATTCGGCTACACGTCTACCGACTCTCTCGTATGGATGACTCGCTGGAGTCGCTAGCCGGCTTGTCGTTGTACTGCACGCTTGATATGAATGCTGCCTGCCACTAGATTCCCATAAACCCAGCTGTATCGTGATGTTACTGGCGTGCGCCTGAGTCCGCCCCTGCTCGCGCCGCCAGTGCTGCTGTACCAAGGTACAGCAGCACTGGCGGTACCTATAGTGCTGCTGTACTGAAGGGAGCGCGAGCAGACAGAACACGTAAGACTTGAATACCAGCCCATAGGGGCAAAACTACAATCACTACTCCGTTCGGCAATCTCAGGTACACCAGAGCTTGCCTTGGGCTCAATTCGGCGCCGCCTTCATGCGCAAAATAATCACACATAGTTCACGGAGACCTGTCTCCAAAGATCTGCGTCACTTACTTCAACGACATTTTATGCACGGAAAGGGGTTAACGGAGGTGTCAGAACGCCTGGGCTCTGTTCTCTGTCGCATCAGCTCGGCCGTCCTGACTCTACATTCCGTAAGTACAAATTCTTTCGCAAACAGGTCACATTTCCCTGTCATTCGGTTTCAGGTTACGGGTTATCAACAGGTCCGAGATAATTCAGAAGATGTTTGAGAGGTTGGAACCCCGACAGCAAATCCGCTGTCTAGGCTTTTATGGCTGGCATCGCACTTAGGAAACATGTGAAGGATTTTACGCACATGTCGGGCGTCTTGTTCCGTGTAAAAGCTCGGGACACACTAGCCCTGCTTAGCATTTGAAAATAAATGGTTTCCAGATTGGAGCAAAAGTGTGCCTATGATGGTGATCTCGGTAATTCTCTTGCGCAAGTGTTAGAAATCATCCAAATTTGTGCTACAAGTCCGTTTGTGTTTTTTACTTTACAGCCAGGCTATGCAGATGACTGCAGTAACTTAACCTTCTTGTACTATATTTCTATGTATGGAGAATATGGTAGCTTGGAACGAATCTGTGGCAAGCTACCATATTCGATGTGGTAGCCTAG